TTTTTGCAGCGGGTATGGCTAGCAAAGGCCTGAGGCTAGCCAAAAAACAAAATTTATTTTTTTTGTGGATTATAGTCATCTGTGACGGGCCATAACTAAATGCCCGATTGAGATGAGGTCATCTGTGGCGGGCTCTATTTTAGGCCCGATTGAGGTCAGTAGTCATCTGTGACGAGCTCTAGTTTAGGCCCGATTGAGGTCAGTAGTCATCTGTGACGGGCTCTATTTTAGGCCCGATTGAGGTCATCAGTCATCTGTGACGGGCTATAGTTTAGGCTCGATTGAGATGAGTATCATCTGTGACGGGCTCTAGTTTAGGCCCGATAAAGGTTAGTAGTCATCTGTGACGGGCGCTAGTTGTGGCCCGATAGAGATAGGTCATCTGTGACGGGCTATAGTTTGACTGGTCGTCTGGGTCAAAGCTATCGGTGACGGGCTTTACTTAGGGTCCGATTAAGATATATTCATTCGTGACGGCCGTTTGCCTGATTGAGATAACTCTTCACATCAGTGACTTCTAGCCTGTGACGGACGCTGTGCCCGATTGAGATGGGGCTTACCGCCCGATTGAGATGAGGGTATCCTTTCTAGTGTCTCTGTAGAAATATATATATGGATCTAGTTATTTGAGATATGTCAGATCTATGTGTGTGGATGAGATATGTCAGATCTATGTGTGTAGATGATGCTATATGGGAGTGCAATCTGTGGGAGTGTTCAAAAATTATTTTGCTTTGGTCGATTTCATTAACAAATGTCAAAGGTTTCTCAAAGTTTTTAGAATTTTGGATCAAACTGTAACAAGTTTTAGAAATAAGCCTAAGGATGATGATGTTTGGTTGGATGTATCATTTTCGACATGGTGCATCGAGGAATGATTCAAATACACAGAAATGAACACGGCTGCGATAGAGCTCTAGATTTAAGTTACTAGGGATCAAATTTTAGCTTTCCTAAATCAAGTTCATGCATTTTTAGTTTTAGGACAGCAAGATTGAAAGATATTCCTATGACTGTTATGGTTATTGAGTTTGATATTAGAGATGGTTCGAGGTCTCTAAATTCTTGCATGATTGAAGCTAACCTATCATACTACCCCCCTTAAAATTTAAAAGTTTTAGCAAGCAGGATTGTGGTATGGAAGATGAACAAGCTAGGTGGTTTCAGGTCTGTCCTAGGTGTCAATCTGCTGAAAATAGAAGTTAATGACCAACCTAGAAGGCTTGTAAATTCAAATAAAATTTATATTCAGGTTGCTTACAAAGTTTTCTATGTTCTGGGAAGGAATTGTGATTTTTGGACAAGTACTTTATTTTATTCAAAAAGAAGAAGACAGATGATGCAGTTCTGGAACAGGTTATTATCTATGGTTGTTGAATTTTTATCTCTTAATCTACAGGTGTAAAAATCCCACGAAAAATCATGAAACTTTCCTGACAAGAATACAAGTTACTGACCAAAGGTTTTCATTTTATCATTTATGGTTTAGGAGATATAAAATTGTTAAGTATGCAACCTACAGATTTCAGAACCTGACTATGCAGACTATATGAATTTTTACACCTTGATGCAGAGGTTCAAAAATTCTACCAAAATTCATGATGCTTCATATGGTAGTACACTAACTACTGCTAAAAGATGGCATGCTTATCACTTATGGTTTGGGCTACAAAATTTCGTGAAAGTTGCTGGCTATAAATTTCAGAACACGTGCAACTAATGCATTTGAATTTCTATAGCATGTTTTAAGTTTGATAAATTAACCATTCCATCATAACATGAAACCAACAAGATTCAGAGGCTATAAGATTTTTGGGTGGTCCATCTAAGCATTCAATCTAGTGGTCATAACACAACAATTCCATCCTACCCCAAATCTACCCATTCAAGGTCATAACGAAATTTTGAAATGCTGGGATAGAAGAGCATAAAAAACCCATCAAATTTCACCATGGTACAGAAGTAACATGTTTATGTGATACAACCTAACATGTCTATCAAATTTTAATTTATTTAATCAACTTCAAAACCTACACTCTATATGCCATTCCAAAACCCGAGATTTTTGCAAAACCGTTCTAATACATAGGAGAATTTTGCAAATAGATTTTAAAACTTTTCAAAACACTTTGGTACTGATCTATTGCGATTAATAAGCGTTTTCAAACTCATTTTTACAGAAATATAAGCTTTCAAAAGGTTTCGGTCCTATGGAACAAGATAAGGAGTTTTAGAAATCAAAACATGAGACATAGGGAAATAATATCCAGAGAGGGATAAGATATAAGGTTAAATATGATTTTCGCAAATAATTTGTAGCTGAGAGCAAAGCCCTCAAAATAATTTTTTTAAGAATCAATTCTAAACGACCAACTTAAAGGGGCTCCTATAGTCGGTATTTGCTCTGATACCATGCTGTCGTAGGCTCTCCGGACCTTCTATTATAATTGGGAGATAAAGTGAATAATTCAAGTCATCGAGCAATCATAATGAAACATCCGACGCCTCGAGAGAGGAATATTGGAGACATTGCTGGGCCTTTAGCCTGCCAGTCAACTTCAGCCTGAGATGTGCCCGTCAAACCACTCGAAGGCGGCGACCATATGTGTTACACATTCAGGAGACTTGACAAAAATGGCTAAAGAGCTACAACATCTCAAATATTCCTAACTCATACTCATGTGAATCTAGTTCCCAGGAAGTGCACTAGATTCACACTTTCATCTTAAGTATGAATATACATAGCAAGATACATCTAAAGCAAATAAAACTCAGATTACAACTAATAAATAGATACATAGGCCGACCGGCCAAATATAACTATATCAGAGAACAGCGGAAGCTTGACTACCCAATCCTCAAGCACACCGACTAGGGGTTTACCCCATTAAGTTCACATCCTAGAAGAAGCAGTCGAAACCCGCATCACTCAAATTAAACTAAGCCTATTCCTGCAAAACATAAATTAGACAAAACATGGCAGAGCACTATCAAACCTACATACATGAAAGCTCTATGTCAAAGGAAAGGCTATTTGTAGTCTCAATTTTCAGCATAAAGCAAATTTTAGTTCACAAACCATTTGCAACGTAATTTAAGCAAAACATTTTAGCAAATTGTGAAGCATATTAATCATGGCATGATATCAACATAAATAGATAGACATCATTCCCTTACAACACAACGGGAAGTAAGGCAATCATATCACATATATCAATCTTATCATCAACTCAAATCATTTAGTTTCAGAAAAAGTACGAATTACCGCCCCCCCCAAACTATCGCGGCCGTCCAAATTACCCCCCTGAACCACAAAACCGGACATTCTTCACCCCTAACTATGCAAACCGGACGAATTACTCCCCTCGACCTAATCCACGGTGGTTTTGGTCTACGTGGCGTACGCGTGGAAGTCCAGTCAGCAATTTATTTATTGAAAAATACTGGGACCCACCTGTCATACTCCTATTGCACTTTTCCCCCTCTCTCTCTCCTCTCTCTCACTCTTCCTCTCTCTCTTCTCTCACTCTCTCACGCGCACGCGCACAACAGCAGGCGGGGGGTGGCGAGCGGCGGCGGGGTGTGGTGGCAGCGGCGAGGCGAGGCGGCGGTGGAGGAGGTGAGGCGGCGGCGGAGGAGACGAGGCGAGGTTGTCCCATGGGTTTTTTCTGGTTGTCTCATGCTCTCACGATTGGTCAGTGTGTGTCGTGTTCGATCGATCTACATGTACAGATGATCGATCAATCTTCGAATCGATCGCCGTGTTTTTGTTGTGTTTGGTGATGAGATGATGGTTAAGTGGTATGGTTAGTGTGCGCTAATGGCGGTGGTTTGGTTTGGGGGTGGTTGTGTGTGTGTGGTTGCAGGGTGGAGAGCTTCATAGAGCAACAGGATGCGTGTAACTCTGGACGGGTGCGCGGCGAGGCCGTGCCCGTGGTGACGACGCTGCCGGTCATCCGTCACGCAGCGCTGCGGCATCATCATCATCATCTGCCGCCGCCGCCGCCTGAGCAGCAGCTCCTCCCGGCGTCCACCACGGCACCGTTGGCCGCCGCGTTCTCGTCCAACTCCACGACCACCACGACCACCGTCTCCTCCTCCCACGAGCAACACGCCAACACGCGATTACGATGAAGCTGCAGCTCTCCATCGGCCCCGCCGTCGTCATTGTCACGGCGTCCGACGGCGGCGCCGCGGCCGCGGCGGCAGGAGGGGAGGAGGAGGAGCAGCGGAAAGAGGTAAGGCGCGCGCTGGAGGACAAGGCAGCCGCGGCGCGGCGCGGGAGCGGGCGCGCGAGGAGGCCGCGGCGGCGGAGCGCGCGCTGGAGGACGCCCGCCGCCGACTCGCATCGCTCGAGCAGCGCGAGCTCCGCCGCACCCCGCCGCCGCTCGCCGCCTCATCTGCCGACGCTCGCCGCCTCATCCCCCGCCACTGGCCTCCTCCTCCGCCGCCGCCTCGCCTCGCTCGAGCAGCGCGAGCTCCCGCCGCCGCCGCCGCCTCGCCTCGCCGCTGCCGCTCGCCGCCCCCCGCTTGCCGCTGTGCGCGTGAGACAGAGAGTGAGAGAAGAGAGAGAGGAAAAGTGAGAGAGAGAAGGGAGAGAGGAAAAGTGCAATAGGAGTATGACAGGTGGGGCCCACCTATTTTTTAATAAATAAATTGCTGACTGGACTGCCACGCGTACGCCATGTAGACCAAAACCACCACTGATTGGGTCGAGGGGGGTAATTCGTCCGGTTTGCATAGTTGGGGGTGAAGAATGTCCGGTTTTGTGGTTCAGGGGGGTAATTCGGACGACCGCAATAGTTCGGGGGGGTAATTCGTACTTTTTCCTTTAGTTTCAAAAGCATTTAGAAATCACAAAATTATACCCATAGCACATCATCATGTCGCTCATGACCATGAGCACGGCTAATCGATTAGTTTTTAGAACTCTGTAGAGTTTGTACAGCTTTACCCACAAGATATGAACAACACTCTAGTTTGTTTTGTGCTCGCGATGCACCACCACACTCTATACGTTGAGTGCGGTCTAGAGGTCATAACGAAGCCTTTACACTACTTAGAATCTAGCCTTGCACCAGCACGATACGTGTTCCTCCATCTTAGGTATACTTGGAAATATGTCTAGAACCGTTAAGTGGCGGGCCCACGCCTTAAACTTAATGCCGTGGTGGCGGACACGACGGGAACCCACCACGTGGCACAATACCGTTGTATTGGACAGACTTAGACGCCCATGCCGTGAGGTGGATCAGTACACCCCTCACGGAACACACACACACACATAGGGAATGTATCATCCTATGATCATCACAAACACACACTCATGGGTAGTTCCTCTAAGTTATCGACAAAATTCTCAGAATTATCGACTAACTCATACACACCGGCCTACCAGAATGCAAGGCTAGTCCTAAATAGATTAATCAGCTTAGGCCATCCCATACTAGCACATGTGGATGTACGGTAAACATAATGGGTGATATGTTCGGTCCTTAATCGACTCGGGCGAATACTCCCCCTATCAGTATGCAACTACCACCATATGCATACCACATGCCGCTCAAGTCTAAAAATCACATTTCATCTCATTTTATTTCACAAATATCCAGCGAACACATCGCTGCCCATATCACATAAAAAGGTTTTCCAAATAGTATAATAAGTGATTCCATAGCCATGTTTTTATTTATTACTAAGCAAGGCTAAGCATTAGCATTTTATAAAAGCTTAACTTAGCTATATGAGCACAATAAAAGTACTCTAATTATTCCTAAGGTTCAAAACAGCAAGGGAGTGATTTTCAAAAGGGTTCATGCAAATTTTTTTTTTTTTTGGTCATATCTACAATCCAGTTTCGATAGTTCGAATTACGCATGCAACTTTTACAATCAAAACATTTAGCCCGAAAACATGGGATTCAATGTGTTCAAAGGAAGGGCAACACTTGCCTTGGTTGATATAAGACCTTCTTGAGATCAGCTATAAGACCAATCACCTCACCGGTAACGAATTCACCGTCTAAAAGAAATAACGGTAACGATAAATGCCAAAACATGTAAAAATCTAAAATGCTCTAAAATGCATGAGTTTACTAGTGTGGTTAGGTACTGGTCTAAGATGAATTTAGATGAAAGAATTTATATTTTATCACTTTGCATTAGAGAGTTATAAATTTTCAAGATGTAATACTAGCACTAGATTAATTAAGCTCTAATAGTTCTTAGGTGCATTTTAGGTCTATGATTTATGAATTGTTGGCTTGCTGCAGTGAAGGGGATGTTCTCAGGTGTTCAACAAAATTGGTTTCACATTTTTGTAGAGTTGGGATGATTTTACTATGAATTTTACAAGCTAAGTGATTTATTATAGTAGTTGTTAACTATTTCAAATTTTAGACAAGTTTTGGGTACTGAAAGTGTCATATTTTATTTTATAAAAACTAAGGTCATGGTTCTTATAACCTAACAAACTTTGAGATCTCTTCCTTTAGACTGGTATTAAATTTTATATGAATTCTAGAAGTTTCTATACCATCTTTTAATTTTAATTCATTATTCAAATTTGAGTGATGTTTTTGGATATGGTTTCTTCTACAGATTTATCTACAGAACAAATGTATATGCTTTTATCAAACTAACAAATTTTAGTTCATCTCATTTGGAGTTAAAATAAATCACTTATGGGTTTTATAGTTTCTAGATTACACTATACTAGTTATTTTACCAATTAAATAGTTGGTGATTATTTTAATACAGAAAGTATCAAGTTTTAGTTCATGTAAATTAAGAACATGGTTTTGTGAGAATACTGGAGCTTGGTTCACTCCAAATTAAGTTAAGATGAATTTTATATGAATTTTCTAAGTTGGAGATTGCTCTATGTTCATTATTTCTTATGTGAATTATTAGAGCTATTTATTCTACTGCAAGTGCCAAGTTTTATGTTTCCATATTAAGGTTCATAACTGGTGATTCTACAGAAATTTATTTCATCCAGATTGGAGCTAAAATGAATTTTATATGCAATTTACAATTTAACCTATTTTTCTGTTGATTAGATATTCACTAAGGCATTTTCCTTATATTTTTCCAGATTTTAAACACATAGGGCCCACTGGTCAGTGAGAGATATTTTGCAGAAAGATTCCTAGAGGTTCTAGTAATAGGTCCCGAGGTCCCTAGCACGTTTTAATTGAATCTTCATTAAGAGTTCTTGAGTTTTAATCTATTTACATGCATGTTCTTGGGTCCACATGTCATTGTAAGGTTATTTGAAGTTACAACCTTACCAGATCTAAACATTCAGTAATGAAAGTCCTTAGTGCCTAATCCAACTGGACCCACATGTCAGCTAGCCTGAGAGGAGGAGGACAGAGCAGCGGCGACAGCAGCGGCTTCACAGCGTAGCCGGCGGTGAACGGTGGCAGATTTCACGATGCGACCAGAATAGAAAATGCAGAGTGGAACATGGCGAAGCTAATGGTGGTGGTTTCGCTGGCTGCGGTGGTCGGTGTCAGCGATGGTGGCAGCGCGAGCGGCGGTGAGCTTCGGCATGCATGTGCATGTCGAGCTCGGTGTGAATGAGTGTATGCATGTGCCTCTACGGGGTTGCTGGAAGCTTACTGTGGGTTGGACATGCGCCGGTAACGCTTGAATGGCGACGACGGCGTGAAGGATGCTCCGGCGACGGCAAGAAACGGCATGGCAACGGCGTCGACCCCCTTCCAGACTCCGGACTGCCAAGAAGAGAAGTGGAACGGCTCAACGACAATCTAAGGATGCTACACGAACGAGGAACTGCGCCGAAGCTCACCCGAGAGCGAGGAACGGACGACGTTGGCCGGCGGCCGGACTTGAGGAAGAAAGAGAGGATCTCCTTGTTGGCTGCTCTTCAGCGCGATTCCCTTCGCAGGCCTTATCCTAGAACCTTGGCGACGCTCATGGCGCAGCGGCTAGGTCGGAGATGCACCGGATCATCGGGAACGGCGAAGCGACCGACGGCGGCGCTCTGGACACCGAGGACGCCGACGAGCTCGACGGAATGTGTTTGATCCATGGAAAGGATCTATAGATCACGTTCTTATGATTAGATTGTGGCGAAGCTCACCAGAGAAGACATACAGCGGATCAAACACCTTCGGGAAGGATGAACAAGTGGGTGTTCTCGGAAATTCCGAGGGAGTTTTCTCTAAGTTCTTCCTTGGAACATGATGAGGAAAGTGGGATGAGTTATCTGGTGAAGTGGTTAATCAAAGAATGGATGTTGTGCTGGCAATGGAGAGATAGGTGGCATGATATGGCTTTGACACGATTTTTGGAGAGAGGATCGAGTTTAGGGCTGAGATTCAGCTTGTACTTCAGTTAACCTAGTATGAGTGGCTGTCTAGTGGCCCCATATAGATGTTTCCCAGAAGAAATGGGAGGTATGGTGAGTTCTTCGGTGAAACTTGGACTCTAACTCTCTTTCTCCCCCACTCTCTCTCTCTTTGATGAAGTATATATAGATTATAAATGAGTGATCACATGAGTAGATGGCTGGTACATGGGTGACAAATGGGCCCATGTAGATATACTCTAGGTTTATATGTGTGGTAAGGTAGGTGAGAATTGTATTTTTAACTCTCCTCTCACCTTTTGAGAAATGAAATATAAATTAATTGAGAGGTGTGAAGATGATGGGTTGACCGTGTGTTAACAGTGAAAATTGGTAATCGACAAAGGCGTCATCGGCTTAGAATCATTATCGGCTGCAGCATCTCGGAATCAGCCGATGGGAGTTATCAAGTCGCCAATAGTCGGATTCCTGCTATATTCGGTTAAGGAAATCAATCTACTAAAGGAAGCTTATCCCTAAGTGACCGAGTTTAAAGAGGATGCGGCATGGCAGTTTATCTATTAATTAGGAATAGTTTGTTAGTTTCCTTTTATCTTTAGAAAAGTGTGTTTAGTGTCCGATAAGGACTTTATGTTTTCCTTTTATCTTTAGGTTAGTTTCTTTCTTGTCCGATAAGGACTTGTATCAACCCATGGGTATAAATATGTACACCCGGGGTCTATATAATCTATCTTCACGATCAATACAATTCGGTGCATTGCCACCTTTTACCTTTTCTACTTTATTTTATCATCCGGCGGGACTTGGCACCTGACGCGGGGCTGCATCGATGTTCGATCTCCGGCGAAGGGGTAAGTCCAATGTTCCATCGGCCTAGGCAATTGTCTCATCTACGTCAGCGTCGTTCAAGACTGCATCAGTACATTCGACCTCTTGGATTGCTCTGGTTTGGACATCTACCACCCTGAAAATCAGTCAACGGCTTGATTGCCTAGGTATTGTCAGCCGATGGGATTATATGACCAGCAGGAAGTTGAATTTGCTTCTCTCGGAGTAGTAGATCAAAGATCTTGTCAGCTTTAGTCATATCAAAGTCATACTTCTCCTCTTTTCCAGAACTTTTTACCCATTGACATGGTATGACCTTTTTACTCCTCATCTATTCGGCTGCAGCTATTTCAGAATCGTCCTCATCATCATCCGACCCATACATGTACAGACAAACATGATTAACCTTCTTAGAGCTTTTCCTAACTTCTGCAGATCTATGCTCATGCAAGGTTACCTTCTATCACAGCCTGAATTTCCGTTTTAGGATTTATAAATTATTTAATAAATTATTAATATAATTTATATTAAATGTTCATTAATTTACAAGTGAAGTTAAATGTGGGAAATAAAATTTCCTAAATATAAAGCATGGATAGATTTAATTTGTATTAAGTTCTCCATGATTAATTATACTCTCTGAAATTTTCTAAGATTTTTCGGAGCTCAATTCCTAATTTTAATAATACAAAGAACATTTCAGTAATTATTCACATATTAAATTAATCATTAAATGAGCTGGTTTCAATTTTAATAAATACTCTGAGTGTTCAAGTATGTTCAAGATTTTTCTTGGAATTATTTGAGCATTGGAAGTATTTTTAACAATTGAAAGATCATCTCATTGGTTAATTTATTTTGAAAAGTAATAATAATCCTCTTCCTAGTCTTGGGCCGAATTCAGCCCATTCCATTCTCTCCTCTCAGCCCGCAGAGAAGTCTGTTTGACTTCCCTGGCGCTACAGTACTCTATCTTCAACCTCCAGACAGAGACCGAGCCGTCCCAAGCCTGTGCAGCCGTGCCGCCTCCTCCCACCAATCCGGCCACCTCGTTGCTCCTTTTTCCAAATTAGTTGCGGCAATGGAATCCTCTCAATCTCCTCTTCCTTTTCCCCAAGAAATCCCCAAAAGTTTCTATGGAAATCCTTTCCAATTTCGCGGTTCAATCTTTCCTTACTCCGGCGAGAACCCTAGACTTTCCCGAGATTTCCCGTCGATTTGGGCTCGGACCCGAGCTCCCGTGCCTATATAAATGACCCCCTAGTCGTCCTCTACCTATCCCCTCATGTCTCATCTTCCGCCGTCGTCGGAATCGCCCTCCCCGCGAGCTCCTTCTCTCTCCGCCGCCGATAGCCGTTCCAGCCGCCGTGCGCCGTCGCCTCGGCCGTCGCCGATCAGCGCCACCACCTCCCGCGGCTCCGCAAAGTCGAGCTCTATCCCGGCCGCTGGTTCTTTTGCGCCAAATCCAACCGGAGATTGGCCGTCATCGTGAACCGGAGCGCCGCCGTCGCCGCCGTGCCTCCAGCCGCGCCGTTCGTCGTCGTCCGTCGTCACCTTCGGTCGCCGTCGTCTCCATTTGATTCGCAGCTGCGAGGAGAAGCCCGTCCGCCATCTGTCATCCGCCGAAGATCGCCGGAAAGTCGTCGCCGGCCATCTCCTTCGCCGTTCATCGCTGCGTAAGTATTGGTAAGCATCGCTGTTGCCTCCTCTTTCTCCCGTTGCCCTCCATTTGCATTATTGTACCGTGGTTCGCCGGCAACCGCCGCTCCTATGCCATTCACCGGTGTACTTTATCTCTAGGGTCTTAATTCAATCTAATCCGTTGTTTGTCTAGCATCGTCGTCGTCTCCATGTGTTGCCGCCGGATCACCGTAGTCATCTCTCTCTCCGATCGCTTTGGTTCGGTGAGACTTCTATCCGTGTTCCCTCGGTTTAGTTTTTAATCTCTCGTTTTTGTCATCGAGTAGCCGCCACCGTGCCACGCTTAGCTGCTGCCCTAGCGTCGCCACTGCGCTAGCCACCTAGCCGTCGCTGTGCCGCTCCCTGCTACAGCCATGCTGCTGCTGCTCGTGCATGCCAAGTCGCTGCCGTCCCACTACCATAGCCACAGTCTGCCGTCGTTGTGTGTCGTCGTCGCTGTGCCGTCATCCTAACCCTAGCCGCGTGCCTCCGCCGAGTCGCCGCCGCCTAGCTGAGCCAAGTCACCCTAGTACCGCCATGTCGCAGCTGTGTGCCGCTTTAACCTAGCCGCCGCTTTAGCCGTTGCTCGGTAGCCAAGTTGTTTAGCCGTTGGTGCATCCCTTAATTCCTACCGGCCTATCGTTTGCCGTACCGGGGCTTTACCGTGAATCGTGTCTAGCTCACCGGTTTAGTCGCAACCGTTGTTGAGTCGTTCGCTCGTTCGTTCGAACGAGGTGTCCCCCATGTTTCGTTCGTTCGTCCGTGTGGAGTCATCCTTTAGTTTAGAGCCGTTCAGAGCAGCCGGTTCCGTTCGCCAGTTTCGGTTGATCATTTGGGTGATCCCGTGTCACGTAGAATTGACTCGTTGAGTCGGTATCTCGTGAGGCCCGCTTGCCAGATCAATCTAAGCCATCCGATCTTGGTCAACTCTCGATCAAGATTAATCTCAGCCGTCCAAAATCAATATAAATCCGTTCTCTCTTTTCAGTGGCATATTATTTCTTTTTAATATATGTCATCTACCAAATATGATCTAATCTTTTTCCAGAGGTTGTTTTAATCTTTATCTCAGTTATAAATCATTTCTAAATTGTTTAATTAATTTAGAATAGTATTTTCTTTAATAGGTTTAATTGGAATTAAATCTTGTAAAATTTGTAACTAATTCATATGAAATTAGAATGAGGCCGTTCAAGTCTCATAATTCATCTAAAATCATGATCTACATGTTTCTTTACTTTATATGTACTATTTATTTGGAGTTTCTTAGTCTTTTTCTTCGTTTTGCGTGTTAGCTTGTCGTTTCCGTCGTTGCGAAGGTTCGCGAGTGCGTCGGAAGTATTCCAGAAGATTTATTGAAGACCGAATATTGCAAGGCAAGTCACACAGATCCCAAACATAATTTCTTTGAGCATGTTGATCCTATATTTAAATTCTCTATTTATTTCAATTGTGCATTTATTTTCGAATGTCACCGGGTGGTGTGAACCTATTCCTTTGTTATGACCACTTTGCATTGCTTACTCTATTCTTTGATACCTTGGGTGACAATTTGACTAATTGGACTTATATATTGGTTCAGCTAGATATTAGATATAATTGCTTAGCCATGCTTACAAACATTAGCACATGATTGGGATAACTAATGTTCCGCTATCACTTAATGATGGATATTTAATTGTAGCTCACGATGGCTAATTGTGATTGGTTAATTAATTAATGTGCCAACTAAAACTTGATAATGGTGGGTTGTGAGCACATGGTTTTGATGGTCGTGCTCATGACAATTAAGGACCGGTTCATGAGTTTCGGTTGTGAAACATTAACCATGCCAACCACAAGTCAGCGTGGGCAACGGCTTTACCTTTTGTATAGCATGGTTCATTGCGGGGCACCAAACTGAAAAGTGGCGGAGATAAGCCCACGGGGGTCGCTGGGGAGTCCATGCCTTGTCTATAAGGGGGTGATTATGATCCAGGAACGGTGCACTGTGGTGGATTGTGTTATGCGAGGGGTACTGTCACAGCTCCTTTCCGAGGTACCGTGGTGGCATTGAGCCGCATGGTGACATGTTGTGGGGCTGTGTCTTGTGGGTACAGTGGTACACCTCTAGCTAGAGTAAAACTATTCGAATAGCCATGCCCGTGGTTATGGGCGGGTCTAACAATGTCTTTCGTGATTAGTCTCACACTTCTCACCGTAATAAATGATGCTATAATTGGTAATAATTTGATTAGCTCCTGGTTTGGAATGGCACATTCCTGGTTTGGAGATAGATCTGTACAGCCGGGTATGGTTGTTCAGGATGGTTGGGCCTGTGCAGCATGGGTGTGCTGTTCAGTGTTGATTAATATTGATGATTAATTACTCTACTGTTTTACAATTCTCAAATGTTTGATAAATGCTGCTTTTGCAAATGAGCCATATATTATGCCATTCTTTGGTATCCTTGTGCACTTGCATACTTGCTGTGTGGCTTGCTGAGTATGTCATATGTTCACCTTGCAATAAACAATCAAACCTCAGTTGAAGACAAGTTGCGAAGGAGAAGACGTTTGGCTTATACCCCAGTTTAGCTGCCTGTGGGAGTGGAGCCGGAGCT